AAACAGCCCGTCAACACGAGCTGTGGGAAACATCGATGGGGCAAGTGACCAAAAACCTATTTCCCAGCGACAAAACACACCCGACCATCAAAGCGAAAGATCGGAAGATGGCGCTAATATTTGCAACCTTTATTTGTTATTAGGTTGAGGCATAAGTGATGAGCGTTCATGATGCCGAAGTCAGAGAAGATGTAAAACGTGTAAAATACATCATTCGATAGAGCAAAGCAAGCCCTTCAAGATGGTGTTTACATAATCGCAAGATGAATACACGGGAAGTTTAAACAAAATCTATCAGGTCTTAGATACAGAAATCGAATCTATAAGAAAAATACACACCTCAAACTTGCTCACACCATTAACCGCATCAGCTAGTCATATTCAGACAATTCCACAAACTTCCGCAAGAGATGCAAAGTTTGCAGCGTTCCGCAGAATTTTCTCAACTATTAAAAAGGTGGAAACGATGGAAATGGGAACTTCGCGAGACTTTCACATTGAGCTATCGAAAACGGGAAGTTCCGCGGGGATTTCACGTTAAACTGGCGGAAAACAAGAACTGCGCGATGGTCGCAAAACGCTGCGGAACTTCTGAAAAATGGCCATGGTTCTGCAGCACTTTGGCCTGCCAGTACTTCCGCAAAACTTTGGATGTTGTCTCTTACGATGTTGTCCGCCAACAACTGGGGTGCTTTCTAGAGCTTTGATCCGTAGTGCAGAGGATAGTGGGTGAGTCTCGCAATCAATATTTATGGTTCAATCTCCTTACGTTCTTTTGCTTTTGTGGTCCGCCTTTTTCGGAACTTCCGCAGCACTCTTACGGATCTCTGCTGACCCGACGGAACTTTCCCAAACGCTTCCTATTTTATATTTCCAGCTACGTAAAGATTATGACAAGTATACTGTGTCTGATATGAGTAGAATATGATGAATAAGTTGGGGATCGCCGCCTTCTGGACGAATTCTGTTCTTTTTTTTTCGGTATTTGTAATTTTTAGATTTTTTTCCAAATCCATCTGATCGGGTATCCAATTTTTCAAATGACAATGCAGAACTTGCTCTGCTCTATCGAATGGTATGTCTCATACATTTTCTATACCTTCTCTGCCGCGGCGGGATGAAAAACGTCCATTACCTTTACATCACCCTAATATTCAGGAATCGATAGCTGCATACCTGTTCACCCCAATGCACACATATCGAAGTGCAGCGAATTTTACGAACTATAAATATAAACTCTCAAGTGTAAAAGGGCTCGTTTCGCACGATGTTTTGTTGCAACACAAAAGCCAGCGAAATCATTTCGAAAGTGCAAAAGTGCAACGAGGCGCTGCCCCGAAAGTACAAGAGAGTAGTTAAAAGCGAATGTTGCACTTTTCGAAAGAAGAAGCAATGTCGAAAGTTTTGCGATACATCGATTGATACACGCAGTTGATGTTTCGAATTGCGTTTACGAATATGGAGACACAGGAAAATCGAGTTTCGAAAGGTAATGCTGTCGCAAGCCACACATCGCATTTACGCAAAATTGCGCAATTTTCTCAAAGCTGCTTTGTTTCGGTCCCCGTTGTAACCCCACTTTTACAACCTTTTCTGCCCTTAGTATGGTGAACAGTGCTTACAGCTCTCGTATATGCAGTACAAGCCCACTATAGCTTTCAATGACCACAAAATCGAGGTAAACACGATTTACACAAAGAGCAGTCGGGAGGCTGTTGTTTGGGTGACCGCTTAGTTCAACGGTTTGAAATATTGAGCCACATGTTTTCTAAGCACGATTAAATTTCTGATGTTCATGAAAAGTGACGCGTTAGAGATTTGAAGACAGATATCATAAATGGCGTGTGAGATTCAAGAAATTCAGGTAAAGGAAGATATTTGTGGCGGAGGCTCAATGATGACCTTTTTAGGCATATAAAATCGCTATAGACATCGCTAATATCAAACGCACATACTCCCACAATTTATAGAGACCTAAGCAAAGTTTATCTTGTTCTTTGAAGACCATCAATCTGCTGGAGAAAAAGTACAGCAAAAGGATTGAGCTTTGAACAAAAAGGTGCACGTTCATGTGCAAAGGACAAAGACTGATTTGCTAATGTTGAATACAAGAAAGACGTCGTATAAAAATGTTACCAATCCACTTGAGAAGTACAGTTGAGGCTCTAATCCAAATTTTTTTTTCAATCGAGGAGGGCTGAGCATACTTCTACTACACATTAACCGCTCAGATAACTTTGTATATGCGACTGACACTGAAGAAATGCACCAAAAGAAGAATTGAAAACAAAGAAAACAAGCAGTCAACCTCGTTAATCTAAAATGAAGCTATCAAGAGCATAGCGAAAAAAAAACAAAGAGGAGAGTCTCGTTAGGCCGGCGCGCTGCCGCCGTAGGTTCGCTCTGCCCGTTTTGTGGGTGGGGCAACTTCAGTTCCTCACAAATGCGCAATTACGAGCGATAAAGAAAACAAACACTGAGCTAACACGTGCTGTGGATATAAAGACCTGCAACTGGGTCAGAATCAGTTTGGATAATGTTTGAAAGGTATAACGTGAACTAGGAAAATTGTTAAAGAATAAAATTAAAAAATCAGCGAAACAGATAAAAACTTGAAAAAGCCGAAAAACAATGAAATGTCGGATTTTTCTATGCAATGCCTTGTTTCTCTTACTCAGAAAGACCCAAACCGATATTCTGAGGAACCAATCTATGCGCACCATTCTCGGCTAGCGGCCGAACTAAATCTAGAAATTATACACTTTTATTATATTTTGTGTTTTCGGCGCGTTTAAAAATATTTAGAATTCATATCTGTACCAAATTCATACTCATATTTCTTTTCAGATGCCTACTTCACGTATTGTTGGTCGAACACTGAAACGCTAGCCATACAGCAGACTTGGCTAATTACTTTCAAAATATTGCTAAAATAATATTGCTTATCAAAACTCAAAATAATATTGCTTATCATACCGGCACAACTGATCACCTCGACTAATGCTAAGGAAAGTTGAGTGGTCGCAAAAGGTTGACTATTTGCTTTGACACCTTTTGTGACGCGCACTCTGAGTAAAAGAAACGAACTGGGCAATGGATCAGCCTTATTTTCAATAGTCTAATTCGCTTAACTAATTCCGAAACTGCTGACTACGATCTCTCTCGCGATAGCGAGGTATAATCATTTAAGCTCTTTTTCCTTTTTTGAACTTCGATTGAACGCCAGTCTCACAGACAATCAATGTTCAATGTGAGTCGCAATCGGCTGCATTTTTTCCCAGCAGCTGCAGTCTTCCCGCCCAGTATTTGGGTAAATGTCAAAGTCTCAATGCGTCATTCGGACTTTTGTTCAAATTGCCAATTAGAGCCAGCTGTTCGAAAAAACCGGCGTGACGAATCCCAAACTAAACGTATCCGTTCTTCTCAATTTCATGTTCAACATTTCCATTTATTCATCTGCGTCCAGGAATAATTTTTTTTGATAATTTCCTACCATGGAAAAAGTCAGTGTACAAACAGTCCGTGAAAACAAACTACTTTAAATACGCCTGTTGGGAGAAGGAGAGCAGGGAACTTCAGATTTTCTGGGCTTCGGCTTCCTAATCGATTAATGAGAAATTTTCTGGGTATTCTTCACGAACGCTATATTTCGCGTCTAGTAATGCACCAAATCGGCCGTTGTAAGCCAGTAGAATGCTTTAGAAAGTTTATGTCTCTGGCATAGCAAATTCTTACTTGTTGAAAGAATAGAGCTACACGGTGGGCGTCTAATTTCTTAGCCAGCTTGCATTTTGCAAAAAGTAGATTAAACTCAGACAAATGACCGAAAATTCCGCTGAATATTTAGAGGCCTAACCTACTCGAATCAGCAGAAGTTTCCTTTTAAATCAGTTTGACGTCAAGTTTCTGCGTAAATTCCCACTTTCGCAGCTCAAATTGTTTGTGATAATGCAAAACCTGTAAAACTGCTGCAAATGTGTACTTCTTGTCCTGCGGAAGTTTACGTGGTCATGGTTTGTCTGAGGAGCTAAATTTCCTATCGCCAATTTGGCCATCTGCCAATTATTTTCACTAGCTACTTTCATTGCATGATGCTCTAGAAGCAAACCAAAAAATGACATAAAAGCACTGGAAAAATGAGAGTAACGGGAGAATTCCAGCTTCTTTCAGAATTTATCCACTGACACTTTTCTGTCGCATTGCTACTGCGCTACTGTCGTGATTTCCTTGGAGTTACAAGAATGAGATTTTTGTTAATGCTTACACAACGACTTCCTTTTGCTGAACACTTGAAAAGTCGTTTTGTTACCGATGTAGAGTATGCAAACATGGACTTCATTCGTGCGCTCAGAACTCTCCCCAATCGAAATCACGACTCGTGGAAATTTTGGTACTCTGGGTGGAAGCGATTTTTTCAGTCATAATGACCAAATCACAGCTTGAGCGCAGATTCGTATATACGCTGCGAAGGCATTGTCATAACGAAGTGATACACTTTTGACCAGAAGAACAACATTACACAGACGCCTTTTTTTTTTTCATAAGCGATTTACTCACTTTTCTGATACGTCAACAAATACCATATCACGTGAACAGAGCATGGCAAACAGCAGACGAACCTCATCTTTGGTTATGAAAAAAGGCCAAAAAATCTCATGAAGATTAGAAAAATTTCTGAACAAACTCAAATCAGTGAGGTGTGAGTTGATTATTGCAAATGGAGATCACTTTGAGAACCATTTGCTTCGACATTGGGCGGGACAATCATGTAAGTACTCTCAAATATCGAAAGCCACTACTTGTTAAAAAAAATTTAAACAACGATATTTCTGTAAATGGAATGATTTTGTTATCAACTAACAAGTGTACATTACTCCCTTCTTGATGACCAAATTCAAACATCTTTTTAACCCCTATGTGTCATTGGATTTTGAACAGGTTTCTGCACACTATGAACTGAAAATGTCCAAAAAAACTCAAACGTTGACAATTAATTTTAGGCAGCATTCAAGTGAAGAAGTCCGCAGTGGCAGATGATGGAGCCCAGCAACCACAAAAGTTTACCGTCATTGTGGATCAAGCCGGTGAAAGCAAACTAGCCATGGATGAGTAGTTTAAATGTATCACAGACAGTTCAATATTAGCTTTTGTCATGTTACCATCTATTTATGTGCTGAATCAGCTGCTTTGACTTTTAATCATGCTATATCCTTGTGTGGAGTTATGCTTGTTGGATAGATCAGATCCCGGAGGAACAGGACCACTCGGTTGCCTCCACTCGGTTGCCTCCACTCGGTTGCCTCCACTCGGAGGAACAACCACTCGGTTGTCTCCACTCGGAGGAACAACCACTCGGTTGTCTCCATCATTGTATTTTATCGTGTTCTCATCACCCCCATATAATAAAGCTTTATGTAAAGACAACATCAACGATTCACAGTTTATTGTAGAAAAATATTACGCCATATATAGAAACAACAAGTAATACGTGATTTATCAACAAGATGGAGACCGTAGAGACACAATATAAATACTAGTGACACGCACACATGGGTTTAACACTTTGATTTGAGGTTCAACATATACGAGGAATACTGAGTCGCCACTTCAGTATCCTCGTACAGCAAAGAAGAAAACGACGGCGACCGGCAGATGTTTTGGTCTACGAGTATGGTATTGCAACAAACTAAAAGGTCAACACATGTGGGTAAAGATATTCGACAGAAAGGGCGAATTCGATTCAATCGGCTGCAACGGTACCAGTGGGCTTATCTCCAGCGCCGACCTAAAAGTGATTATAACGTTATCATGATGAAAATGACAAAGCAGTCATCATTTTTCCAGAATAGTGATAACATCGGAAAAATCAGTATTTTTAACGTATTGCTCGGTTGACGAAACGGGTATGACCGCCACACTACTAACAAGGAAATAGAAGTGGAAATGGCTAACGTTATAAGCCATTAATTGCAGCAAACAACGCTGACTACAAACATGTCTTCAAAATCTGCTGAACGCCTTTGCGGGATAGCTATAAGCCGTTATGTTGCAAAATCGTTTACTAAAGATGTAAATTTGGCCTTAAAAAACCATGTTTGGCTACATGCTAGGTCAAAGCATGCAGCAAGGTTACTCTAAATACCTATGCCTAAAGGTGAGCCAAAAAGACGATAATGTGCTTGATTTCGGGATTTGTACGTGAAATTTTCTTACAATCAAACCTCATATGTCTATGAAGGCGTCCAGACATGATGGAACAGATTTAAAGTCAGTGTGCAGCTTGTATAGTTTGGCCATTTTGATTTCTGACCACTCTAGTAAGCCAATGAGAGTTCGAAAAATTGAAAGGGGAGTCAATGATGCCAAAGTGCTTCACATGATTGTTGCAACGCTCAAGATAGAAGAGAGTGAACAGCAATGGATGAGATTTGGCGGCAAGCCAAGCCTGTGTATCCAGAGATCGATCGGCTAGTGCCCGCCGGCTAAACGAAGCAAGGCGATATCGATCATCACCGTTGCCTCAGCTACATTCACGCGGAAGGATACGCACAGTTTGCCTATCAATGGCGACCGCTGACAGGCGCGTCAGCAGCAGTGAGATCAGCGCTCTGCGATGACAAAGGTTTGCCGCACAAAACAAAATAGGCACCTCTTCCTCCTCGGTCTTTTTCTTCTTCAATAGTGGGGCAGTTTCGTCCGTTGCCTCGCTCGCAGCAACGTCTGACACTCGTTTACGGTCCTGAATCTAGGTTGGTCGTCGAAAGTTGAAATAAGACTTGCTTGAATCACCCACATTGCCATTAGTGTCGGTTGATTCTACATGTCCGTTCTCGCCTTCCTTGCCATTCTCTTCGGCGGTTGCCTTTGATGTTTCGTCATCATCATGACTTTCTTCTTCTTCTCCTCCTTCCTCACTTTCTCCGTTCTTCTCCTCGGATGTGTAAGACCTGAGTATAGAATATTAGGAGCAGCGGACAGCAGACAAAAAAATCACTACTTGAAAGCTATGATGGTTGCCTAAATAACAGCAGTATGCGAGCCATTGTGACAACAACATTGTTTGAAATTAAGGTAAATACATCCATTGAGTATTCTAGGTTTTATAAGTTCAAAAACTATTGCGCGCCTTAAAAATGCGGGAATGACGAATGACCTCGGGAAACACTAGCCATCGTTGACAGCGCAATGAGCAGACTCACCAAGTTAATCACGCTGATCTAACGCTTCCCAATAAGCAAAGGGAGAATACAACACAAAAAAAACATAAAGAAATGCAGCTTTCAAGGTGAAGCAAAGCAGAAGAATAAATATTCACTTTTCATCATTGTCAAGCGAAGCAGCAGAGTCACGGCTCTCTTCGGCTACTTCGTGTACAGCTGTCTCCTCCTTCTTTTCGGGATGCTCTTTCTTCTCGGTATGCTCTTTCTTGTCGGCAACGACTTCCGTAGTTTTAGGCTCAGTTCCAGACATGATTGTTCCACATGAAAAAGACAAATCAAAAGTACGAGCCGCGAGTCATACTAACGTAACAAAGTCGAAGATAACGAAAAAAGGGCTTTGCCGAGAAGGTAACTAATAGGATAGGACATTGCAACTGAGTTACGCAATCATCACGCAAGATTTCCAGCTTAAAGGAGGATCCGAGCAGTAATCAATTTCAAATTCAACGTATGAATCTAACACTCTCCATGAAGGCCGCGGAAAAGAACGACGCAAGCCTCAACCTTGCTTCCGTCCTCGCGCAATGTAGGTCACTACCGCTATAAAGTATCTGAGAATTCATCGAAGACCATGAAGATTGAAATTCAAGCAGATCACTTAATAAGAAGCTTACGGGTCGAAAAGCAGGCAGACAATCAGGCAGCTCAACAGAGGAAGCACAGAAGCATAGCGTAAGTGGTCAGAACAAGGAAATTTTCGCTGATTGCGGTGGCTCTACAAACTGAAGTAACACTGCTTCACAGAAAAGTTACTTCGGATACGAGCAAACTGCAATTCAACTGAAAACCGAAGTGACAAATCAGTGCAACGAGCGGAGATAGCACTAGAGTTTGGCATGAGACAGTCCGAATACGACGAAACTGGCACACAGCAGTGGGCAGACGCTAGGAAAGAGGTCTCAGGTTTGTGGAAAGGTAAATCAGGTAGTTAGTGAGACGAACAGCGTCACCGAATATCAGACCCACAGCTGTGCAAGGCAGAACACCTGCAGTCCGCTGGATGGGCAAGAGAAGGGACTGACTGGGCAGACAGCGGCAGCCGCCGCTCGTCGACGAGCGCAGTTCGAAATGGGCCGTCGCGTGCGACGCCGCGAACTGGCACGGCGAAGCTGGCCCAGCGCCAACGACACCCCGCCCCGTCGGCTGGCAGCAGGCCAAGTCACGCCCTCGCGTCCATTCAAAACAGCCGCGGAGGCGCGGTTCGACGCTGGCTTTGCGGATCGTCGGAACTGCGGTCAAACGCGGGACTTGGCGAGGGGTTGAGGGTGGGAAGATATGAAATATGTATTTAGCATTCGAAATAGGTCGAAAGTTGCAGGTAGGGGCGATCTGTGAGATCAGGTTCTAGTTTTGCTTGAACACAAAGCATGTGGGAACGGAGTCATCTGCTTGTTCATAGCAGGATAAAAGGGGAGATTGTTGACTTCGCAGGACTTATTAAACACACTGGTAGTGGTATGCTACGCAAACATTTGTAGGTGAACGGTTCTACACGACTAACGTCACGATGACCAGCTGCTTCTGGTAATCCCCGCGAAAACACGCCACGCAAGTGCAACGGGTGCCTATTGATCGACAAATTCGATTGAACACAGCTTTTTCGCGCTTGACGATAAACGAGGTAAGCTTGCAGGATAGCGAAAACAACTTATGAAAAAGAAGCTATTAGTACATCAACAGGAGCGTGGAGTAAAAGACACCACTGAAAACTGGGTCAAGCGTCCTTCTGCCATCAGAGACTTCATGGACCGGTCCTCACATGGAAAGACGTGTTTTTATACAGATTGTTGAGCTTGTCCGCACAAGTTCACTCAGTTCAATGTGGCGACGAGCCAAGACGCGTTGCAACTCGCTTTCTCGTGCGACAGCGTGCAGGCACACGCTTCACTGAAAACACTTCCCGTAAAAACATTAACAACATTGACATCAACAAAGTGCTGAACAGGACTAGAACGCAACCCAGCCATATCAAACAACCTAGATATAGATGTATATCATCGGACTCACCCTGAAATAGTTATCTGCCGAACGACTATCCGGAAGAAGTTTGACCGTCCAAATGCGCGATTTGTCAAGTTCCTGTGACTCATGGTCAACCAAGTACATTTCAAAAAAAAGGTCTTAGGTGAATGTGCTTTTTCCTCTTGATTATAGCCAGTGTAAATTGCGCCATCAGGCCTTTCAACGAGTTACATTTGTTGAAACTCGAACAATCTCTATCTGCACATTCTGACTCCTTCCAGATACAGTCGAATCATTTTATATGACCATGTGTGTCATTGCACATACCGCCCACATTGGCGTTCCCAACCTGGATTTCTAGAGGAGGAAACCCCTCAGGTATCGTTTATTCGTTGACCGTAACGACTGCTGACCGCGCAGCGACCGCTGCGCGTGCATGATGTTTTCGTAGAAAAGATGAATAGAAAGAAAACAGAGGATTCTTCTCATCTTTATAATGTAGAAAAGATACAAAGAATTTTTCTCATCTTAAGCCACGGTCCAACTTGTCACTTTTTCGCAAGTTTAGAAGGCACGCGTCGCAGTCGCCACGCGGTCGGCAGTCCGTAGGGTCAACGAATGAACGATAAGTGATTTCGAGGTGTCTTCAATATTTTCTCTCCTTCACAGGTACGATTCACCTCAAAGTAATGTAAGCGATAGCAGTCGGTCAGTCTCTTGCGTTTTTACGATTGCAGTTCCAGGATGAGGACGCCAAAGATGGACGGTGTGTGCGGGTGCACACATGATCATATGAAATGATTGGACTATAGTCGTTTGCCAGATATTAAGCACGTCTTCGAAATCGGCGCGAGTCCGACGATATACAGCTTGTTTGGAATGGCTGGGTTAAGTTCTGACCATTTCCTCGCGACGATAAGCGATAAGCGACGCTATTCCGGCGGCGTGGCGTTATGGAGCAAAGCTACGCCGCATTTACCCTGTGGTATATCCTGAGGGTTTGCGTCGCGTCGCTCCTAATTGCACCCGCAGATTAGCTAGCGTTACCCAGCAGATTGACCATTCTCCACATTCTCCATGATAATTAGATCAATATGAGGAAGATAAACGGTTTTGATAATGAAACAAAAAAAAATATGACAAAGAAGTGTCTGTAAAGCAGAACCCAAGCGAAAGTGAAAGAAGAGGATATTGGTTTCTCTAGAGAAAGTCACTGATGGGAAATGCCTGTCCCTTTTTTTTCCAAATTCTCGAGTTCCACTTCCTTTGAATACCTCTCAAATTAACTTGGCATTTGAATCATCCCAGATTTAGTCTTTGAATCCAAAAATTCATTCATTTTTTTCAATTTTGGTTTCTTCATTGCAATACGCTTGAGAACAACTCAAGCTGTCAGGAGCAGCGCTACTCCTGCGGCTGCAGTTAAAGGCGACGCAACGCAAATGTCCCTCAGGATATACTGCAGGGGAATGCGGCGTAGCTTTGCTGGATAACGCTTCCCCCCCCCCCCCGCTACTCCAGTATCCTAGCCCCGAAATTTTTTTGACATGGATTTTGCTGAAACTTGGCCCAGAGTTTATTTGGGCCGCTGATGCTGAATATCACCTTGTTTTTGTACCGTAGCGTCATTTTCTCGGCTTACCGTAGGGTACGGTGGGGGTTCAAAATTCCAGGATTCGCTGAAACTTGACCCAGGGGGTTATTCGGCCCTCTGACGCCGAATATCGCATTGGTTTTGCACCGTAGCGTCATTTTCTCGGGTTACGAAGGCTACACGTTAGGGGGGTCAAAATCTCAAAATTTGCTGTATCGCAGAGAGGGGTTATTCGACATGCTGGTTAGAAATGTCACACTTTCTCCGCACGAAAACGTTTCCCTGCATGGTTACGGTAGGTTCACGGTGGGGGTCAAAATCACAAATCGGCAAATGTATCTTCTCCCTGTGCTTTGCTTAGGCGAAAACCGCAGCAGGGTGTGTAGCGCGCGACGGTGATCGTGTGTGCAAAGCTTCACGATCGTCCGAATCGCATTACACCCGTTTCAGGCAGATATGTTTTTCATTACCGTATCTACCGTAACCGAAAAAATGATGCTACGATGCAAAACCAATGTGATGTGTGGCTTCAGCAAAATCCATGTAAAAAAAATTTTGGGGCCCGGATACTGGAATAGCGCCCGATAAGCTAACAAGGGAACTATGTTTAGTCGAAGTGGCCTTTTTGGATGGGATGTAGACGACATCTGAGAGCATAAGATGTTGATTCCAAATCTGCCTTCCCTATCTGCGGAACCTTTGAACGAGGCTAAAATCTCTCTGCCCTTAAATGAAACAACAAAATGTGAAATATTTTTTACCTGAGAGTAATTATCAAGTAAGGTTCTGCAAAGAGTGTACTGTACCTGGACGCTCGATACCCGGCTATCCGGCCCCAAAATTTTCTGTCGCGCACTTCGCTTGAATTGGGCCCAGTGGTTATCGGACTTGCTGACCACAAGTATCACATTTCCCCCCCCCCCCCCCCAAAAATGCCCCTCCATGAGGTTAAGGTAGGTGTAGGGGGGGGGGGGGGGGGAAGCGGGGGGGAGGTCAAAATCATAGATTTGGCTGAAGCTTGGTTGGCATTATCTGACACTTTTCGGATTATCCGACATGCTGATCACAATAACACATTCCTTTCGCATGGTTCTCCCTTTTTATAGAGTTAACTACAGAGTGCACCAAAATAAATTGCGCATGTTTCTGTGGGTGCCAAGGGTTGTTTCATAGCTGCAGCGACTGCAGTATGAAACAACCCCAAAAGAATACAAGATGAACTTGACTGTGGATCAAGCATACATCTATTTTCAGCAACAGCTATCAACGTAATGCAAAAGTCAATTCAAAATTTGGCTGATTATCTCGGAAAAATTGCAAATTTTTTTGTCAACTGGAGTTTACTCTGTACACAGGCGTAACTTTGCAAGTTTATACGATATCATTCCGAAAGTCTCTTCTCTTGCTTTGAAATTGTGCACTAAGGTAAAGTAGGCTTTGCCTTCAACATAGTCAAGTATGGACATTTGAAAGTTAAATTGAAGAGGGATTATAAATTTTTGAAATCACGCTTGGGAGGCAGCATATCAAAAGTCGGTGATATTTTGGCTCTCTCAAGTGCGCCTAAGGACCAGAGAAAGTCTTAAAAGTCAGTTTGAAAACAATTTCAACATGCCGCTCATGATGAGTAATTTTCTAATGCCAAAGAAATAAAGATTTAATTTTACCTGGAAAGCTTTGCACATGTGGAGTCTCACGATTGATTTTGAACAGTAAGGTTTTGCTTGTACGCAGTGTTTTCGCAAATACATATTCGTGTTTTGTGAATGAGTGCTTGCGAATGCAAATAGAACCGTGTGATATTGCAAAGAGTATTCTACAACCTCACTTTGGGATGGTTCAGGAAAAGTTTGTGTTTATTTAGTTGCAGAGCGAAATATAAAGGCGTGAAAATGGCATTTTTGCTTCCTCATTCTATCTACTTTTACATTCTCGTAAAGTTCTTTTC